AAGGGGGGACAGGTTAGGTAGCCAGATAATCTGAGCTAATGAATTTAATTAAACAGCAACATTAATTTGGGAATTGTAAAGGAGGAGGCAGCACATAACAGGAGTAGCAAAAGGGCTCCAATGGATGGAGGAGGAGGAAGAGGAGGAGGAGGAAGAGGGTGCATAATTTACTTGGGATTCTGTAGTTCTCTTCCTGGACATAGAGGCTGCTGCCCATGCCTTGGTGCTAAAGATTTTATGATGTGCGTTTTTAAAACAAAAATATAATTTAAAAAAATCCATGGAATTTGCTAGCTGTCCTGAATGCATTCATAGAGTGGGGCGAGGGAGAGCAAAAACTGTTAAAATTGGAAGGAAGAAATTAGGCAGTCTATGAAAATGCTAAGAGTGCCCTTTTGACAGACCAGTGTCATGAGTGTTGATGACCCAGAGTACAGGAAATTACGAGTTCGTGTTTTAGCTCTGCCACAGAAGTCTACACTTGGACAACTCTTGTATATCCACCACACATATGCTACCAGAGAAGACTTAAGGCAGTGCAACTGTTTGTGAAAAGATAGCAGGTAGTTCCTGTTCATTGGAGAGGAGCGGGATATTTCAGGAGAAAATAGTCTTCCGTGCACAACAATTGACTATGCTTTCATTCATTAAAATTTTTTTAAAAGCATTGCAGAATCCAGAGGGGCTGAGATAAACTAGGAAATCACAAGCAAAGAAAGCTGTATTGCAAACAAAACTCTGCATTTGCCTTAAGGCCAAGAATTATGATGTTAAATGTTTTATTGCTAGTTTATATGTTAAATGTTTGTAACTTTTGTTATATTTCTGTATATTGTATTAACAATGTAAGTCTGTTTTTTTTTAAAAAAAATCTGTACATTTGGATCCTGAGCACAGGTTTTATTTTCTATTCTTTCGGTAGTATGTTATAGAACAGGATAATGTAATTGTATTTTGAGATCCTATCTTAAGTCTTTGGGGTGTATCGACTGTAAGGAAATGTGACTTTACCTTTAAGAGCACCTGAACTTGCTAGATGAAATGACAGAAGCCTTTTAAATGTATTTCTCTGATGAATGCTCAGGTTACCAACCCAGATGTAGGAGAATGTGAGGAGAGTGGTAAAGCAAAGTGTGGTGCTTTTATACCAGCCCCATAGCAACTAAAGCTCTCTCTGGGTGGTCTACCTTTTAATTATACAAGCTGCACATTCCCTTCCCCACCACACAAGCTGGCTACTAAGTTTATTGACCTCGGAAAGATGTAAGGCTGAGTCAGCCTGGAGCTGCCTAGCTGAGCCCATGATCGGACTCAGGTCATGAGCAGAGTCTTCACTGCAGTGCTGCAGTTAACTGCCGATCAGCAATCTACTACATCAGTTTCAAAACAGGCTTCTGGCAAGATACAGTATATCACAGAAGTGAGTACACCCCCTCACATTTCCTAAATATTGTAGCATATCTTTTCATGTGACAACACTGAAGAAATGACACTTGGCTACAAAGTAAGGAAGTGAGTATAAAGCTTGTACTGTATAACAGTGTAAATGTGCTGTCCCCTCAAAAATAACGCAACATACAGGCCCTTAATGTCTAAGCTGCTGGCAACAAAAGTGAGTACACCCCTAAGTGACAATGTCCAAATTGGGCACAAAGTGTCAATATTTTGTGTGGCCACCATTATTTTCCAGCACTGCCTTAACCCTCTCAGCCATGGAGTTCAACAGAGCTTCACTTTTGTTGCCAGTATTGTCGCATGAAAATATATACTAAAATATTTATGAAGGGTGTACTCACTTCTGTGATATACTGTAAATCATAACTATCTTGTGGCACAGTGGTTTTCCATCTTATTCTCAGTATTACCCATCAGTAAATCTAATTGCTAACCAGAAGGACTGGCTTTACTGGGGCTTCTCCCATTTCTCACCATGTAGTGATTTCAGTCTGTATTTGTGCATTCAGTATATATGTCTGATAATCTTTAAACCACTACTGAGGTGGTGTGGGTGCTTCTTACGTGAGGACTTTTGCAACTAATTCTTCTGTTTGGCCTCTTAAAACTCTCCCTATAATGGCCATCTTTAGAAAACTGATAAACAAGATAAAGTATAATATTGTTAAATGGTAAAATAAGTGGTTATGTTATGAGAGAACCAATCTGTAGATATGTGGAATTTAGAAGTTTTATATTATGTGGTGTTGCATAGAGAGAATTTTTTTAAAAGCTGGAGAAAATATTTCTGCCTTTACCATTTTAGTTGCCATTCTTTCCTTGCTCCAAATACCCCTTGTCTCATCCTGCATACAGGCTTTTCACAAGTAGTAAAAGAACAGAGAGAAAACCAAGTGAAGAATGTCACTGTGCTACCCAGAAAATTTAAGTGGAGAACCCATTCGCCCCAGTGTTAATAATTGACTGCTAGATCTTGGAAAAGTAGTGGGAAAAGAGGAAGACCTAACGTAGGATGGATTGACTCAATAAAAGAAGGTGCAGGCTTTAGATTATAATACTCTTGCATGGTAGGAACTTTTTGGAGGTGTTTAATCCATGGGATCATCATAAGTCAGAAATGACTTGACTTGATAACAAACATTACCTTGCAGCTGGGAGGACAGAATTGAATTCCTTGCTCCAATTTATGTTGGGGAGTAAATGAAACACACACACACACAAGAGCAACATTTATTTCAGGATTCAGCCCTTGGAAACTTGGAAGGAATGCCTGAACACATACTCCTCTTTTCTAAAACACTCAGACCTACTCTAAAAGTCAATTGAAATGTTCATGTTTAGTAGAGAAATAAGTTTGAAACAGAAAATGCGATAGAAGTCTTACTTTTAGTTAAATAAGGTGCAGATGTCGGGAGCCATGGCTACCTCTTTCGTCTCTGGAGAATAAAGGTAAGATAGATCATTCTTGGAGGGACAAGAGAAAGGTGTGAGAAGGGAGGAAGAGAGATTAGCAAACATCAGGATAGCAGTCTAAGGTTGAAAGAAGGCAACGGAGTAAGTAAAGAACTGCAAGAGCCTTGAGAAGGTCCTTCCCCCATCTCTGCAAAGACACATTATCTCCTGAGTTGAAACCAGCCACCTACATCTATTACAAGCAGTGATAAGCATGACACTTAACTTTAAATGACATTACCTGTCATTTATTTTATTTACGTATTTGTAAAAAAAAATATTTTAACACTATCTTTCTCCTCAAAAGGATGCAAGGTGGCTTACAACCATTAAAAGACCATTAGTTGCCAGCTAGTCCTTAGTTTGCTAGTTCTGTGCTATCATGGATGTTTAAATAGTTGTCTCATGAACTCTTCACACTCTTCCCTATTGATTTCTTAAGCAGTGAATTCAAGGAATTGCTCAGTCCTCCACCAAGATTTTCTTGTTGAGATGATGCAATACTCACAAACTATGCCACACACAAACTTTTCTGGCCTGGAAGATCCTTAATGTTTGTTTAGCTAGGGTTTGAGTTAGCAATATGCAAATCTTGGCAGATACGATGACATGGTAATAAAATGACGTCTGGCATCACCAAATCAACCTTCTTCTATTATTTATTTCTCAAGAGTCTTTTCAATGTGTCTGGGTCCCTTCATGTTTCTCTGCCAGGTTTCTCTATTGGAGTCCAGGGAAGCAATTGTCATCTCAAGTCAATACATACCCTTGGGATAGAACTGAGCTCTGTATCTTAGCCATAGGTGCCCTTGGGTATTTACTGAGCCTGAGCTTTTGCAGGATGATAGCAGGTAGTACTTTCTGGAGACAGAGCATAGAGTTTCTTTGCCTTGAGCTCTAGTGGTCACATTACTGCAATGCCAAATAACAGAGAAGAGTCACCACTGGTGGGGGGTGGAGATCATCATGGCATTAATGGAAGTGAGCCCTGGCCTAATGAGCTATGGTTCTCCTTAAATTGGGTTCATAGAGGTAGGAATTTCCATAATTGATCTCCATACTGCATGGCACACAGACAGAACACCCAGGAATCCTTGAATAGTGCCAAGCTGTGAATGCAAGGAACAAGATAAGAGTCACAACATAAGGTGGATATAGCCTCTATCGCGATTTGCTGAGAAGAGCCTCTCCCAAATCAGCGCTGATATTAGGGAATCAAAACTGCAGTCACCAGGAGCAAAACAGCAGACACAAAGGATTCAGCTCTCTATGAAAGAAAGAAAGAATCCCCGGGCCTTGGTTTAGTGCTTTGGTTGGAATGAAAGTTCTAAAAATTCACTCATTCACGTCGGAAATAAAGTGTCTATAGACGTTCCATGGGTCACATGGTACACCAGATGCACAGAGCTCTGTGTTAGTATATCTCAGCCATGATTACTCTACCTCTTCCTGCAAGCCTGAAGTTCCTTGGCTGCCCAAGCCTTCTGCTTGTCGAGGTTAAGTTTCCAAACCTTACTCATACAAAGTATTTGATTTATGAGAATTGGCATGTTCGTGTGGTGTGCCAGCAACTGGAGTTGTTGCACAGGGAGGCAGAAGGGGCAGCAGTGAACAGACATGTCTCAAAAGGAGGCACATCTCCCTGTAGTCATGAGGAAAGGAGTATCTGGGAGACGTGACCCTTTAATGTCAAAATGTCACGTGACATCTTTGGAGTGGGTGCCTGGATGACGTGCTACAGCCTAGCTTTGCAACAGGGCGGTGGTGAAACTAAATTGTCACTTTGGGGTTGCTGAGAGAATGAGGTGGATCATATAAGTGTAATAAATAAACAAAGCCAGATCGCTGTGTGTTTCAATCAAATCCATTTGACTTGCATCTGTCTCCTTAGTTCGTTCGTGCAGGCATGAACAGGACTCATATTGTTGTTCCATTTCTGAAGCCTGGGCAGGTTTCCGGAAACTCCTAGGAAGATAAAAACGCATATTTGGAAAGAATGTTGCCAGTCAGTGAGCAAATGGCATCGACCGTGGGTGCTTTAGCCATAACAATAATTGATTTTAATTCTTTATTCTCTCTGTTTCCTTTCTTAGAGAGCCCAAAGTGAGTGAACACCACGGGGGAAGCTTGGCTGATTCCAAAGGTACGACCATCTTTTCCTTTCTCTTTCCCAGAAGACTTAAAGGGAGAGAGTCTGTGAGCTGAAAAGTGACTCAGAAAGCTTCTCTTTGTCCTATGTGAGTGGCAGTTACTTAGGAAAGATGTAAAAATAGCTGACAAGATCACCCTTCTCTATTAGATTCACCCAGGAAGAAATTCCACGTAGGTTCATTTTTAATCTCAAAAGACAAGACCTTTTGGTCTGATGCCATCTGATGACTCTTATCTATAACGCTAGCATCCCAGAATCTGGCAGTGAAGCTTGAGAAAGCAGGAGTAAGTGATAATAACATTTAGAACACATTTGTACAGCACATTGGGAATTTTCTGCATGCTTCATGGATATTGTCTCACTAAGCCTTACAACAACCCTATAAGGTAAACTGGCATTTTTTAACGCTTATTATTCCTGTATTGCAGACACAGGTTGAGAAATAGCCAGCTGGGGCATCTATCAACAAAGTCATAGAATAATGGAATTGGAAGGGGCCTATAAGGCCAATAAGTCCAACCCTATGTTCAGTCCAACAGTCCAAGCCAAAGTGTATCTGACAAATGGCTGTCTAACTTTCTCTTCAAGACTTCTAGAGTTAGAGCATTCATCACCTCCCTAGGGAATTGGTTCCATTGTCATACTGATTTAACCATTAGGACATTTTTCCTGATATTCATCTAGCTTCCTGTAACTTGAGCCTGCTTTTTATGTCCTGCACTCTAAAATAATTGAGAACAGAACCTGCCCATCTTCTGTATGACAGCCTTTGTCATATGTATGACTGACTGCCTACAACCTACCTACCTACCTACCTACCTACCTACCTACCTACCTACCTACCTACCTACCTACCTACCTACCTACCTACCTACCTACCTACCTATCTAAAATGATGTCAAAGGCTATAACAACTTATGCTGAAATTTAAAGCTGAGGCTTCCTGGGCAGATGTTTAAATAACTGTTGTATCAGCTGACTGGGAAGAGACCAAGACCATATTTTATGTGCTAAAGGTCCCAGGTTTAATGAATAGCATATCCCATTAGCACAGGGCTAGACCAACTGTGGTCCCTATTATTAAAAAATGAAATGAAACATTGTGATTTTTAAACCATTAAATATTAGATTTGTGAGGGGTTGTTTTTTGGGGGGATTGCAAATCCTGGAGGCCTCCCTGGGACCCAAGGATATTCACTAAAGCCCTCCTATCCAAATCCACAAGTTCCCATCTGGGAACTTCCAATTGGCCTTTTTAAAAACAACATAACTCTCCAATTTGGGGCCTCCATGCAGCCTTCAGATAGGACTGGGTGCAACAATGTGCCTCCCCCAAGCCCCCAGAGCTTGGGCACTTAGGAGACAAGGAGGTTTTCTGTCTCTGGTGTCAGACAACTGCTGCCTATAAGATGACAACACAATAGGAACCCGGATGGACAAAAGAGTCTGAGCTGGGATAAGGTAGCTTCTTATGTGCCTATGAGTGAAGGAGATTCATATTTTTGGGCAACAGACCCACTTTTTGGACATCAAATACTACTGATGAATTGTCAGGTTCAACTGTGGCCACAAGATACTGTAGTTGTTGTTTAGTTGTTGTGTCCGACTCTTTGTGACCCCTGGACCAGAGCACACCAGGCCCTTCCGTCTTCCACTGCCTCCCGGAGTTGGGTTAAATTTATGTTGGTCGTTTCCATGACACTGTTCAACCATCTCATCCTCTGTCGTCCCCTTCTCCTCCTGCCTTCACACTTTCCCAACATCAAGATCTTTTCCAAGGAGTCTTCTCATGAGATGGCCAAAGTACTGGAGCCTCAGCTTCAGGATCTGTCCTTCCAGTGAGCACTCAGGGTTGATTTCCTTCAAAATGGATAGGTTTGATTTCCTTGCAGTCCAAGAGTCTTCTCCAGCACCACAATTCTCAAGAGTCTTCTCTAGCACCGCAATTCAAAAGCATCAGTTCTTTGGCGGTTAGCTTTCTTTATGGTCCAGCTCTCACTTCCGTACATCGCTTTGACTCTGCCAACCTTTGTCGGCAAGGTGAGGTCTCTGCTTTTTAAGATGCTGTCTAGGTTTGTCATTGCTTTCCTCCCAAGAAGCAGTTGTCTTTTAATTTTGTGGCTGCTGTCACCATCTGCAGTGATCAGGGAGCCCAAGAAAGTGAAATTGTCACTGCCTCCATATCTTCCCCTTCTGTTTGCCAGGAGGTGATGCGACCAGTGGCCATGATCTTAGTTT